TGATGATATTCCTCCCTATTCTTTGCAAGTACCCCCTTTTGGTGGCGAGAAACTGTTGGTGTGGTCAAGTGGGTGCTGTAAAAACAAAAGCTCAGGACAGAATAGTTATCAGTCATGTGCTTCATGCAAAATGTGCATATATTGAATTTCATATTGATCCTCTGAGTGTAATGGTACATTTTATTTTGAATTTATCAAAGCTAAACACAATAATTTTTCTTTCTTTATTTTGCTCTTGTTCTTGTGCAGCACCACATCCTATCACATGCCCCTGTCGGTTATATCTCTACTTTTCTAAATTATTGACTATTTCAATGGAGAACCTAAATGACGTGGACCAGTATTATTGTTATTACATATCTCTATTTTGAACGTGACAAGTCTATCATTCCCCTGTTATTCATAGGTATTCTTAAAGTTTTGGCTTTTTTCTCTATAAAAGTTAATTGACCTTTTACAGTGGCCTGCTATGGTTAATAGTAACATATTTTCTCCACTGTAACATTTGACACTTCCCAACAATATAATGTGATACCTTAATTAAAACACAGCTACTAAAACACAATTTTTTTAATGCAAACATCAGTAACTCAAAATTATCAACCAAAGGGTTAAGTCTGCAGTTCACACTCTCATGTGAAACATTCTCCCCCTCTGCTCTCTCTTATCCTCCTGCTCCTGCAAAAACAAAACAAAGCAAGACAAAACATCCACCCTTCTTTTACAGGCTGGGTGAATTGTTTGTGGACATTTACTAATCCTAAAGTCAGTACCGTTTTTGTCTCAGTATCAAGTCAGTTAAAACTTTTAGTCGTCAGTCTGTCACAGTCCAGTTACAGGCATACATCCACACACATTCATACCAGATATTGCTGATAATGGAGTCTCACGCGCGACCTATTCGAGTATCTATCACCAGCAAGATGACGTCATTATTTTAAAGGAAAACAGTTCCTTGTTTTTTTTGACTGGATTGACTCGCTGCAATCCTTTTAGGCTCAGGACTTCTCATGTGATCAATGTCCCATATAAGTGAATTTCTCCCAAGCCCATTATAATCATGGAGAAAAATACTTAGCGACTGTTTTCAGTAAGAATATTTTATAGCGCTTTAAAGTTCAATCTCACAGGCCTGGATTAAAGAGCTGATTTGTTAAATCAGGAACTCACAAAATACCAAAATATCACCACCGGTGGATTACACCTCTCAGATGTTCTTATTTCAGTGCACTGTAACAAAAGCGAAAACAAACCAATAAAATACTAATAAAGTAACAAATACTGGGGCCCATTGCAAACATGTCCAAGCATAAGACCATCTTTCTCTCTCTTAGAAAAAGAAAACAATCCAAACCTCACTGATAAAATCAACCTAGTGCACAGTAAAAAAACCAAGTGTCAATTTTACACTTACAGAGTTGATTTTAACTCTGCTTCAGATAACATTTGGTCCCACTCAAAATTAGAGTTCAATTTACTCTATGGCCAGTGTTAACTTTTCAGTGTTAATTGTACTCAATTTAGTGTCAAAATTAACAACAAAATGTGTAAAAATATTTAACACTGAGGGTTATTCACACTGTTCAGAGTAATTTGATTACACTTTAAAGAGCTATTTTTACTCCAATTTTAGTTTAATAATAACACTCTGATGTGTAATAATATATCATTTTTATTTCTCTGTAGTGTGATTTTTTTCATATTCATCTTATGATGCTATATTACTAAATAACTGTGATCTATCCTACATTATCGAAATAACAACAAATATACAGGTTAAAGTAA